AAACGCTCCTAAGTGAAAATTGATGGCTTCTTCTCTCACGTGCAGGAATGTCAGTCACAAATGTTCAAAAACCATCCAGGCAAGAGTTATACAAAAAGGCAGTATCACAGGAGTATCAACAGCTCAGACTAAAATGTTTATCTACCATAAAACAGAGCAAATATAACATTAACATTAAAAACACACCATTCTGTTGCTTATTTTCAGCTTGTTACCATGTTGCTGAAATTATCTTCAAAGTTTTTTATTGAATAGGGTAGCTGATATATGAAAAGAAACAACACTCTAGAATGCTAGAGCACTCTCTTAATGCATAGATGGAAAAAATATAATGTTCTTAGTTTAATAACTTAATAACTATAATTCTAAGTAGCATATTTTGTCTCTTTCCTGGAGGTAAAAATTGAATTTAACCTTTTATATACATATATATATACACAGTGACATTTTCCTAATCTTTGTGCAAGCAGTTCAAGAACAACTTTGTTGAACTGCAAAAGCCCTATAATGTTACTATTTTACATTTCAGTTGTTCCATTAGCAGTTGCATCTTGGTTTATTGATTTGAAAATGTGGAGAGGCTTGTTTACTTAGGCCAGTGATTCTCAACCAGGATGCCAGGGCACCCTGGGGTGCCACAGATCCTTTGGAGGATGTCTTGAAGAGCGAGGAGATAAGTAGATAAGCCAGAACAACCCCCTTTTCTTCCAGGCCCTGTTAAGCACTGTAATATCTAACTAGTTTTTGAAATTGGATGCCACTCAATTCACAAAATTTATGGAGGGATGCCTCAAGTCCAGAAAAGTTGAGAACCACCGACTTTGGTTGAAGCTTTGAAAATGGCAGCACAGAAGCAGTTCATTTCTCAGCACCTATTTAGAAAATCCAAGTGCTTCAGATTTTGGTTTCTTTTGTGTGGAGGTACTGGAAGGAATCCTTTATCCTTAGCAGTTCTGCAGCACATATATGGCCAAAAACCCTGTTGTACCATTCTGTTGTTCGTCCCCTGCAAATCAAATCCAGACATGAAATAAGTGATGATAGGCAAGGAAGAAAAATGATTTCCTTTTCTTTGTGAATTTTAATACTTGACCCACTTCCCGACTTCCAGCTCATTTTTCAGTATTTGTATTGCAAAAGTACCTAGAGGCCTCTAATGCGTATATACCAAGTCTCAGCATTGCTCTTTCACACAGAGAACAAAACCAAAAATAAACATTAATCATTCATTGTCTTGTCCTGCCTGGTATTTCTCTACTTTACCTGGAACCTCTGACGATGATTGGAGAGGCAAAAGCACCAGGGTTTCTGAGCAATTTAGCTTACTCTAGGGTAGGTTTGGTTCATGCAGAAATTACAGCTTTTCGTTGCATATAGGCAGCAGTACCATTTTTGATTATTGTTGGACCCCCTAATCAAACCCTTACAACTATTGCAAATTTCTTCCCCATGTGCATTTTTAGGTGTCAGGACTTTCAGAGGAAGAGCAGAAACAAGTTCTCATTTTTGAGGTTTGACTGAGGTTTCTGAAATGTTGATACATTAATTGCTTGTGTTGCTATGTTTGAATTCCTCCATAGGGCAGATGCAAGGGTCAGTGTGTGGCTTTGGAGGCTAATACAATACGTGGAATGCATTATTTTTGGGAAGAGTGCAGCCTCTCAGGATCAGGGCTCTTGTGCGTGTCAGACACAGAGAAGAACTGCAGTACAGGTTTCATCAATTTTTAGGGTCAGAAGGGACCTCAGCAGATCATCAAGTCTGACCCCCTGCCCTAAGCAGGAAAGAGCACTGGGATCAGATGACCCCAGCCAGGTGTTTGTCAAGTCTCCTCTTAAAGACCTTCAGCATCTCCACCTCCCTTGGAAGTCCATTCCAGATTCTGGTAACCTTTACTCTAAAGTAGTTCTTCCTGATGTCCAACCTAAATCTGCTCGCTGTCAGTTTGTGGCCACTGTTTCTAGTTACTCCAAGGGGTGCCTTGGTAAACAGAGTATCTCCTATACGTTGCTGCCCCACCCCTGACGAATTTGTAGACAGCCACCAAATCCCCTCTCACACTTCTCTTACAGAGGCTGAAGAGATTCAGGTCCCTCAATCTCTTCTCGTAGGACCTTTTCTGCAGGCCCCTAACTATACGAGTGGCCTCTGCTGGACCCTCTCAAGGTTATCTGCATCCCTCTTGAAGGGCCGTGCCCAAAACTGGAAGCCATACTCCAGCTGTGGCCTTACCAGTGCTGCAGAGAGGGGAAGTATCACCTCCCTGGACCTGTTTGCAATGCACGTGTTAATGTGTGGTAGAGTGGGGTTAGCTCTATTGATCACTTTGTCACCTTGTCGACTCCGAGCTTTGTCAACTATGACTCCGAGCTCCCTTTCTGCTGCTGTGCTGCTTAGAAAGTCATCCCCCAATCTGTATGTGCGCTGGTGATTCCTTCTCCCTAGGTGCAGTACTCCGCACTTATCCTTCTTAAACTGCATCCTATTTTGTTCTGCCCACTTTTCCAGCCTGTCCCAATCTGCCTGAATCCATTCCCTGCCCTCCAGTGTGTCTACTTTGCCCTATAATTTGGTGTCATCCATGAATTTGGACAGTGTGCTCACCACACCCTCATCAAATCACTGATGAAGATATTGAAGAGCACTGGCCCAAGGACCAAGCCTTGGGGGACTCCACTGCCCACATCGTTCCAGGTCAGTACCAACCCATCCATCACCATTCATATCATGTTCATGAGCCCCACGGACACGGTAAACTTTACTGCCGCAAACTACATAATATGCAGTAGCTCTGGCATCAGGGACTTCTCCCTCAGAAACATACTGCTTGGCAAGTAGGTGTTGGCCATCACTTTGGACATCAGACTATTTAATACTATGCTAGTTCCTATAACAGGGAGGACCTGCAACTTCCACTGAAGTTACACTTCAAAGGAAGGTGCAGGTATTCAGCAGCTCTCAGGATTTAGCTCACCAGGTCAGTCGTATGCACTCCTTTGATCTGAAGTGTTGAGCAGCATGTACTGATTTATATGCTGTTGGCATTCGCAGCCATGTAGAACCTCCTGGACACAAGCCATTTATGAAAACAACTCCTGAAACTTTAAGGGAATGGCATGAAGGTACTCTCTTCCACTCACCAGTTCCCACTGCTCATTACATTCAAGAAGCACCATTGGTCTCAATCTCTAACCTAAACCACCCTCTTAACTGAATTTCTTATACAGTAATTGTTTCAATTATTCAAACCAGGTTTATCCAAATGGCTATGGTGTCCCCAATAAGGCAGGTTATTATGGAATAATTAGATGTTTACACAGTGAATGCAGCAAGTGCCTCAGACTCCTGCTTGGTTTTCCTAGTCAGCTAATGTTCTTTCAGTTAGTTATCCCAAGTGCATCAAGCTGTGAAAGAATCGAGCAATTAATGATTCCAGTCCAGTTGAAATTCCAATGCATATTTTCGAAGCTGGCTCAACAGAAGGAGGATGGCACATGCACAGAAGCACCAGGCAGGCCATCAGTCATAGTATCAAAATTGACATCCAAAGGTAAAATACTTCCCTACTGGAAGCCCATACTATGCATAATACATGACAACTTAATAGGTATTTAACATCTCTAGATCTCCATGTTTGTATGTACATGGGGAGGTGGAATTATCCTTATTTTTCAACTCTGAGAACTTACTTCTAGAGAGCAGGGAAGATTAAGAGATTTGTCCTAACGGCACCAGCGGCACAGCGAGGACTCAAATCCAAGGACCCAGCCTTGTGCTCTATGATTGGAGCATACCATGCTTATTTTTTTCCTAACTGATACGTGACTGGCAACATATTGGTGATTCAGGAGATGTGGTCAGGGGCCAGCAGTACCAAGAAGCAGGTAAAGAAGCATAGAAATTAAAATGATACCTTGTGTCTCTTCGACAGACATGAGTTACTTTGGATTTCTGAGACCCAACTGCTTCTATGAGATACTGGCACAGCAGGACCTGCGCTAAAATCCCATGCAGAGTAGCTCCTTCGCTGTTGACTGAGGTAGCTGCCAAAATGCAGGTGCCACTTTGGGGATCGGTCCTCCAGGTCCTAGAACCAGATGGGAATTTTTAGGATGTTTCACGCAAAGACATTTCTTATATAAAACCAGTCATTTGACATGCTTGCTGTGAAATCAGACAACAGTCCACAGCTAGTTTATGGTCTCTTCCACACATAATTGAGAACACTGGTAAATCCTACCACACATTAGTACTTTTAGTTGAGTAGCCCAGAAGATCTCAGGGTGCTAGACAGAATAACCAGCATACAGTAAGCTTCATCCCTGCCCAAAGCAGTCGGTCGCAATCCAAATACAAGAGACAACAGACTAATATGGAAAAAAGTCACGGGGGGGAAGGGGAGGAGGATAACAGGTTCCCCTTACTGTCTTAAGATTTTGCACTGTTGTATGGCCCTACTGCAACTGGGGGAAAGAGCTCCACTCAAGTGGAATCACTGTGTAAATAGTAGGTCTCATCTCAGGTAAGCAGATGGGCAGAAAAACAGCAACAACATCAAATGCTGCTGAACGAGCCCTCAGAAGACAGAACAAAATGTGGAGATTCTTTTTGTTTTTTTTCTAGAGACTAGGCTAGACTGCAAAGTATTGTTCCCCAGGAGCTCTGCCTCAGGGGAGTATGTAGCTTTGACAGCAAATATTTGGAATCGTGTTTTTTTTAAAAAGAAAATAGACTTGGCTATGGCAGGACAACATGTTCAGCATCTCAGTCTGAGCCATATCCCTCACCTTTAAGCTCTTCAGGGGAGGCCTTCTCTTCTATATGAGAGGTGAAGTGACTGTGTCACTACAATCCACATTATTGTTAACTGCTACAAACAGAATCCACTGACTAGAGACTTACACAGGGCTTATCTTCCTGTAAGAGAACCCAAACGCTCATTTATAGTCATTGGAAGGACTATTACCACATGATGCAACATGCAGTACCATTGCACAAGTTACTGTGTTTAAGGAACAAAGGAGAAAAGGCTATCAGATCCTTACCTCAAAACAATGTACTCCCGTGCTGGAAGGGGAGACATGCTTTCTGTTGTATAGTGATAAATATCTGTTTCGTCATCCAAGGTCTCTAGGATCTTAGTCTGCTGCAGGCTTGGGTCCCACTGATGCTGTTCTGTCAAGATGCGCTGGAGGATTAGTTTAGGAGCAGCGTCTATTTCAGTGGATGCCTTCCATAGCCGGATATGGTAATTATCATCCACCTTACAAAACAGTTAACCAACACTGGTCAGCTACTAAGAAATGATTTAATGCTCTGTTCCCTCTTCCAGCACTTACAATCCATAGGCATTCCATCACTGACCTCAGAAGTACTGTATTTTCTCATATCTAGTACACAGCTTTTCCTCCAAATCTCGAGCCCTGCCCCCTACCACCACCACCACCACCCAAAATTGGTGTGTATGAATTAAGCAGGGAAGCTGATTTTTCTGGCTGGGATAGAAGCACCCTCATTTCTACAGAGCAGCAGCTGTTGCATTTGCATTACTACTCAGGCAACAAAGAGAGTCAACCGGCTTACTATTTTTAATTCCAGAGGTGTTAACGATGCTCTCTCTCCCTCTCTCTCTGTTTTTAATGTTGATGTTCCACCGATCAGGCTAACCTTCCTCAGGTCAACTTCTGCTCTCAGTGGTGGCAGATGACAGAACAAGGAGCAATGGGTACAAGTTACAGCAAAGGAAGTTTAGGATAGTAGAAAAAACCTAGGAGGGTGATGAAGCACTGAAGCAATGGAACGGGTTACCTAGAGAGGCTGTGGAAACTCCATCCTTGGAGATTTTAAAGCCCAACTAGAATGATCTAGCAGGGGATGGTCCTGCTTTAAGCAGGGGGTTAGACTAGATGACCTCCTGAGGTCCCTCCCAACTTTAATTTTCCCAGTCTCTCTCTCCTTCTATTTCACAGCCTTGCAGAGACTTTAGTTTCTTTTGAAATCATGGATCCACCCATGGAGATCAGTCTTTGACAGCAACTAGGGTTTCAGCTATGGTTAAGTAGGAAAAGGAGGTTGAGTCAACCAAATATTAGATCTTATGCAGCCGTAACGCTGGAAAAATATATTTTTCTTCATTCTGCCTTTCAGAAACAAGGTATGTATTATATTCCAGTAGTCATGTTTCCGATACATAGAAGTCATCCTTGGACCTTTTCCAATGCAATGGACATCTTTCTTATACAGTTAAAGGTGCACTTTTAATGAAGTTCATGTGAATAGCAAATTAAGCCTTAATTATTATTAGACATTACAGACCAGTTAAAAATGTACCAGCAGTTGTCGCCAACTCACAGACAGTTGAACTGATGTTTAGCAAAAACTCAGCTGTTTCAGCATACTCCCATCCTTTGAGAGGTGGGTAATTCATTTTTAAGGTTGTCAGCCACTTTTGTGTGAATGCCCTAATGTCAAATTTACCTTTTTATGTGCTAATTCCACACGCTCCACGTTTGAGCAAGCAACCCAGCTCTTGAACTTTTCCTTGGCATCCCGAAGCAGGTCCTGCATGGAATTCTCAAGGGAAATCAACATAGCGGAGTGCTTGATCGGGGTGGTCTGATTTGAGGCCCCTTCGCTCAGGACTTTTTGGTCATGCAAGTCATCACCACACTGCTCAAGACAGTAGTCAGGCATCTGCAGAGGCAGAGGAAAGGGCATATCCTAATCACAATCCCCATTACATTTGTTTCAGATTGGACAAAAGAATAATGAACCTCAGGTGTAGGCAAACCCACTAGCAGAAGCACTTAGTGATACTATTAACATTACAAACCCCAAAATAAATGCTAACAAGCATTCTAAACCATTATGTGCAAGTGCGGACTCAGTACAGTGGCATCAGTACAACAGAACTGGGAATGGTGAGAATTCAGGAGCAACCCAACATATGCAAGTTCTTTCAGGTGCAGACACAAACTATTGCCTGAAGGATGAGCCAGGAATGACTCCATCCCCCACAGTGAAGGAAATGCTGACTGCTCTGTGAATCTGAACTCTGAACTCCTCACATTATATTCCTACTGCTACTCCTCAACTTTAATCACTTCACTTCAAGTCTTGCACTTCAGCAGAGGTTCAGAGGAAAGGGATATGACTTGGTGCTCCTCCCATTATGATAGATGTCAATTTTACCTTACTGAATGAAAGCCACAGCCTGAGATTTTTTACATCAAAAGCCCTGAGCAAAACAAGCAGTGCTGAAACTAGGTACAGGCTGGACGATCCATTTCCCAGCAGCAGTTATCGGCTTGCCGACAAAAAATGTAGAGCTGACTGATTGCAGAGAAAGGCACCATCTCCTTTGTATGTATAATACTTTCATGACTAATGCAATAGTGCTCAACTTATCTGGCTCTGTGGGCTTGATAAAGAGTGTGGGGCTGGTCCGTATGCTGTACCCATCAGGCCTGATCCAGTGCATGGGTGTGGCCAGGGGTAAGGGGTGTCCAACTATGGGTGCAATCCAGCCACAGAGCAACCCCACTTGCTGGCCTGACCCTGTGTACTGGATCTGGCCACAGAGGAACCTCATAAGAGCAGCTCCAGAAGACACAGCAATTAACACTTCCAGAGCTTCCCTGCCACCAAATTTCCAGGCCCAGAAGGAGCCCTCATGGTCCAGATGACATGGTTCTATAGGTCGGAGCTGGCCGTAGGTTGAGTGCCACTGCTGTAGTTGAGCACCGCTACCATAGTTCCCGTGCAGTGACTGATTGCCATTTTTACGTTGCATCCATGTAAACTGGGGAGCCAGACCAATAAAGAAAACAATTATTTTGCAGGCTACGTTCCCCTCTATAGCAAGGAAAGGCCTGCCTAGCAGGGGTACTGCAAATAAGGAACACGACGAGCTTCATCTCTCTGGAACAGGTAGCCAGTTGCTTCACCATAAAACACACTAAAAAGGCCTGTAAGTACCTCTCCAGTAATGAAGCCTCCCCGTCTTAATGAGGGAGGCTTGCTAGGTCTGGGAGAAAATGCAATAATACATGTTTAATAGAAGGCAAATTGTACGCTCAGACAACATGCGGATGAAATCACTGCAGACAGATACCTGCTTTGGTGTTAAAAAGACAAGAAAGCTTAGAAAGCAAGAGCTGGGTGAGGGTGGTCTCCAATCCAGAACAAATGAGCACTATGAATCATCAGCCCCACTAGCCAAGCATCCCCAAGCTGCTTTCAAGCACCATGGTAGAAGAGACAGCCTAGCACCATGTGATACACATGTGAATGCTACTGATAGGCCTGCCGGCCACTGATTTCTTGATCCTTATCCAGCTCTTGCCTCACCTGTGTCACTGCAGACCCCTATGTGCAGATCACCTAATTGCTGTGGGAAGTGCAGCCAGCAATCAACAAATCTATTGTGCAGCACAGACAGCAGCTTTAATGACAGGTGGAAAAAATGTGTGAGAGGAGGATGCAAGTGACCAGTTTCCTCAGAGCAGAAAGTGAGGGGGAAAAAATACTTCTCCCCTTGCTGAGGATGTTTTCAGGCCCTCTGGGGAGCGGTGTTCCTTTGTTACATACTTATCACTGGAGTCTTGCATCACGGTTCCCTCTAAGCTGCATCCGTGCGTGGCCACGCACAATTAAAAATCTTGCCACACACTGACTTTTTAATGCCATGTACCCGCCGGGAAAGGAGCTGGGCTGCGGCTTCTCAGACAGGAGCTGGGCACAGAGTGCGGCGGAGGCACCGGGGCCGGCGTGGGACACTTACTGAAGGTAAGCTCCTCGCTCCTCACACAGGGCAGGCAGCAGCTCCTCCCTGAGGTGCGGCGCGGGCAGAGACGGGCTGGCGTGGGCTCTGCTGGCTCCAGGGAGCTGCTCCGTGGGCTCCAGGGAACTGCTCCACACCCCGCCATTGCCTCAGGGGGCGAGGAGGCACATGGCATCAGGGCTGGGAGCGGAGCAGTTCCCCCGAGCTGGAAGAGCTGGCGCCAGCCCCCAGCCCTGCCTTGCCTCACCTTGGGGAGGAGCTGCTCCCTGCCCTGCATGAGGAGTGAAGAGCTTACCTTAGGTAAGTGTCCCACGCTGGCCCCATTGCCTCCCTTTTCAGTTCTATCAATTGGCTGTGTCGGCCCATGGCTGCCCCACAGCAGTCCAGTACGCTGCTCTGGGCAGCAGTTAGCATGGAGAAGGTGGCTGAACCCTGCCCGTTCCCACCTGGACGCTTACTGTGGGACACTTACCAGCAGACCACACCTAAAGGGGGAGGCAGGACTGAAGCGGCGTGCTCACGGACCAAAGCAGCGCGCTCATGGACCTCTGGTCCTTAGAGGGAACATTGTCCTGCATCCCAGAAGGCAACGGGACATTTAGGGGTTGAGGTGCCCAGCAGGGTCAGGATTTGTCATCAGATGAGATGGCAGCAAGTGCTGGCTCTAGCATGTTTCTTCAAGCATAACTAAAGCAGCTGTTTCCATCTCAGATCACGTATTTAGATGGTGTCTATGGCAGGCAAGCCGGAAATGATTAAAAAAGGCATTTTTATACATAAAATGTATTAGAGTTGGGACAGGAGACAAACAGAACATACCACAGACTGCTCTGAACTAGGAATCTGGCCAAGTACACTGGGGCTCAATCGAACTCCTGGACACAAGCGCCACTTCACCCTTTGTGGCTCAGGTCCACATCCTAAGCACACAACTAGCACCTCAGAGGCCAGGTTCATCACAGGAAAAGGAGAGAGCACAAAACGCCATCCTGAGCAGCGTTGCCTCCGAGATGCATGGCGTGCATGGCTGTGCAGGCATGCTCATGCCGCACTGCCAGGCACACCTGCGCAGCTGCACATGCCGCACAGCTTAGAGGGAAGGCTGATCCTGAGTAGCACGTAGCAGATGCAGTGATCTCCACAACAGGGTTCTCCGTGTTCCCTAGTGACATTCATCCATACAACATCAAGGAATTCATTACAAGGGAAAAAGTTACTGAGACTAGCGTGAATCATGATTTGGCCCAGAGCATGTATTACCCTCAACAGAAACAAACCTTGCGGTTCAAAGCTGATTTTTTCCCCTCCCTTTTTGCATTCAAAGACCAACAGAAGTACATGAGCACTTGCCAAACAGTTCTGTTTGATACACATGGCAAAGACCTCACAACCGCATCCAGCTTCAGCTTCAATACCAGTGCATCCTACTGGCACACACCCAAGTCTCTAAGCAGCAAGATGGATGTTGTCTAAAACAGTAAAGTGGGGATTTGTTATAAGCCACGACATACCTGGAAGAGTCTGTGGCACTCTATTATCATGTGGGCCAAGCCTTGTGTCGCTGCCAGGTTCTCACTCAAGTCTCTCTGGTCTGGCTTTCCCAGGCTGTATTTCCTCTGGCTGGACCTGGTGGGGGAGAGCAGGGTAAATTAATAAGGGTTCTTGTAAAGACAAAAGAATAGAGGTGCCCAGTCATACACCACGAGGAGCTGCGGCCTTGATGCATTTGGAATTGCTTATGTACTCTCCCGCCTGAATGTGTGCATCACAATGAGATCAGTCCCACTGTACAAATTATGCTCTAACTACATTCACACAAACAGCTTTGTATCAAGGCTTGAACAGCAATTACATAGAAGCAAGAGCCCCAACTCAGGGCATGGATGCTAGAAACACTGGAGGTATTAATACCTACCAAATATTAAAAGCCAGTGTTTGTTACTGAAGTATCTACACAGGATTAGAAAAATCTGAGGTGCTCAGCCTGATTTAATTTACCATGATCTGTGTTTTCTTATACCCAAATCCTTCACAAAAATTGCCCAACTGATGTATAAAATTATTATGATTAACAAAATAGCTGCTTCCTTTCCATGTTTTTTGTTAACTTATTTTTTTTAGCATTTTTTGGCTCTTTTCAGACATAATATTCATTATATGACATCATTAGCACTCACTTCTAACAGCTTTATCATGGCACATTCCTGCTAACTAGCTTTGAAAAGAAGAAACAGATAAGGCCTCTTGACTTTATTCCTCAAAGCCAAGACTTCTAGATTATATCCCTTTGAAGCTTGAAACACATGGTAAAATATTAACAAGCATTTATCAAAACCTGTGGTTCAAAGCAACCCTATTTCTAAGATGATCAAGAGAAAAGCCATTCTATTTTAGGCTCCTTGCTGTTCCACTGTAGAACTAAACTAAATCAAGAAGGTACAGAGCCCTGGACTACAACTATCAAGTTCCCAACCATTACAGATTGCTTAGCTCTGGTTTAGACCCTGCGATCAAAAAAGCTATCAATTCCACTGCCACATTCTTAACTCTGCTCACACCTTCCTTTGCTGTGACTGGCAGTGTTTCAGCATTAGGGTCAGCTCATCCCAGCAAGAGCCAAGCATCCATTGCAGGGCTGTTTTATAGGCAGATATGCATCTCATGATGGTTTGTGCTTTGTAAAAGCACATTCTTAACATTTTTCACCTCTATTTACTTTTCTCAGAATCTGTTTCTTTAAACCTGAAATGCACAAATACCTGACTGGAACTTGCACCCTTATCTCCAGCACATCGCTGCAAGGAAGTGGAGGATCTACCTTAATGAAGATGTGACATTTGTCTGAAGCAAAGCAGTTCTTCCAGCCTCAAGACAAGTGTATGCATAAGCACAGTTATATTGTATAATGAAGACACAAGGCATCGCATGTAAATACTGGGTCTGAAATTAATATTCTGGGAAGTTACAAGATTGCCCTGATTTGAAAATTCCTTCAGAATTGGATGGATTACTGGCAGGTGTTACACACGTGAGATATTTTTGGCTATTAACATTTAATCACACAATCCCTGCGGCTCAGTTTGGCATGTACTGTAAAGCTGAACCATCAGGTTATCACCAAATAATTAATACCTAGGTTAACTACAAGCTCGAAGCTAGCTGCAAGAGCTTAATGCACCTGGACTGTTATATATATGACACTAATAGCCATTTGAAATCTTCTAATGTAAAGGTTCTCTAGCTCCATTTCTTCTACTGCACCTGTGACAGCTGCCTTACCCTAGTGTAACTAGAATTCTACATAAAACAAAAGTTATCAGGAAGACTATTTTCATAGGTCTCCGCATGTGGATTTTTAAACATATTTTAGTTCATTCTAACAACGAATCAAGAGGATACAAACTATAGGATTTTAACAGGTATTGTCCAAGTATTATGACAACGGTACCTAGTTGATGATGATGAACTCTCCCGTCTTAGGGTACTGAGGTGAAACAAAGATGGTGCCAAACAGACTGCAATGTTGGTTGGAGTCATCTGGTTTTCCTCAACAAAAGCCACCACATCATGGAGAAAGAAGAGAAGGATTTTCAAAGCCTCACGATTTTCATCTGGGAGGAGAAGAATGGCAGCCTGGACAGCATGAAATTGTTGATCCTTTGGCAAGTCTGGAAGTAAAAGAATTAGGAAAATCATGTGAGAACATAAGGAGATAAAACAATACATAAAATGAATGTTAGTGCTTAAATAATGCATTACCTCCGTAACTACATTGATTCTTCTCTAACTTTAGATGGTTGTGCAAGAGCTCACCAAAGGTAAAAGAACATTATGGTCTCACTGGGAGTGTCTACATGTCACCGTATGGTGACAGTACTGCATTTGGGAGAAGTACTGCAGTACTGCAGTGCACAGACAGCGCACGGTTAGATTTACTGGCTACGTCACCATAGCGGCATGCTATAGCTGGGCAGTGCGCCACTACGGCAACATAGCCAGTGATCATGTGGCTACATATGATCTACATCATCATGATTCACATGATTGCTATGTTGCCGTAGTGCGCTATACGGGGACATAGCACATTGCTGTGTCACTGTAGAGCAATGTGTAGCCCACTGTATGGAAAGGCCCCAGAAGACTGCTAACATACAAATTAACACTAATTTAAACTGGTGCAAACCTCATGTGATAACTCTTATTTGCAATTAAAAGTGGCTTATTTCAGCTTAGTTTAAAACCTGTTTGTAACAGACTAAAATGGAAGCATGACTTGTTCAAACCCAAATAAGGGCTTGTCTTCTGATTACCTCCATGTATGGAGTGTGCTCCTGTTAGCTGAAGCCAGAATAGCAGGTCCTGAATAGCTCCATGTGTTTAGAGCTCTAACACAGCATCCACACAACGTTCTGCATAAAGTATAACTAAATAGATTTAAAATCCACAACTTTATTTCAGCATAATTTAGCATGCAGACAGCCTGTAGCAGAGACTGGGGACGGGTCCAACTTGCCACATTACTTGAAGTAGCACTTTTTGGACCTATATGCAAGAAGCATTTATCTTTAGTCTGCTTAATTTAAAAAGGACAGAACGCAAAATTACATTCTTCTTGGAAGCTCCTATCTTTCAAAAAAGTCACACTGCAATTCTAGGTGAAATTATTCCCTTACCTTTCACCTAGTATTTTTAATTAAAAGAACATAAAAACAAACAGACCTCCTCCTGATAGCTCCACAATTTAATTTTAAAAAATAGCTGTTTTAGAAAAACATTAAAACAAAATCAAAATAAATCTACATTTGCAACATTACTTCTTTATTCCTCTTATTCTCTATAAAATCCTGAAATAACATTATAGGAGAACAATGCTTGGGAGAGTGAGAAAGGCAGTACAGCTCACTT